AAGCCGCCCACGCATGCTAGCTGTTGGAGGTTTTTTAGATGAGAGCTGATCTGTGTTCGCTGATCTCATTAGATTGCAGCAAACCAAATACTCTGCAGCATTAGTGCTTTTAAAAATGACATTGGCAGACATTTAAAAACAGCACAAGGAGGTAGGTTAACGTGCCAGTGGACCTCCACTGTAGTAACCCATTCGTAGCACCACGTCACATGTAACACAGGCTTAGTCATTATTCTGGTGGCCTCGCATCAATTCAACTCCAAGCATTTTTATTTATTTTTTTGCAAGTCATCCCTCTGCTTTCTCCCTACTTTCCTGCCTCTCTGAACCTTTCTGTAAAAAAAATTAAAAGGAAAAAGTGGGTCAGTAAACAGATCTACAAAGTTTTAAAGTTAAGAGCCTCCACATCATTGATACATTTGAGTTACATCTTATTACATCCCTTTTCTGTTTCTCCACTCTTGCCTGATCATATCTAAGATCCCGCTGTGACATTCAGGGGTCTTTTTGCTGCTCACACTTTCTTCCTTTCTCTCTAAATATTCTTTAGCCAGTCTGTTAAATGATGACAGTAACATTTCATTTGTTTTTCTTCCTGATAGGCCCCCCAAAACATGCTTTATTTTTTTTTGTGCATCCTTGGCTGTGATGATAGAAGGATTATGGGCTGCCAGCCAATGCAAATGCTACGTAGTTCTTTGTCTTTTGTGCCCTCTGTCTTCTTTGCAGCAGGCGATAAGCTAACACACAAAAAAGATCCCAAACACAAGCAAGAGTAATCCACAGTACTGTTTTTTTTTTCACATGTTTTTGACAGCTGCAGCATGTAGTGATTCTGCCAGGGTGTACATAGACCCCACACTCCCCCAGTGGCACCCTTACCTCTCATCAAGAGCCCTTGAAAAGGACTCCGATCTACTTTAGGTTGCACATTTAGTATATCTGTAGGAAAAGGTGTGAGGCACGTATTCCAGGAGCTGCTAATCCTTCACATGTATGCTCCTTGTATGGTCCAGGGTAGTAAAAGGCCGCCTCCTCCATCTTTAGATTCAGCCAGACAGGATACAGAGTGCTAAAAGCCTGCATATCTCTGAGGGAGTGTTTTGCCCCTGTGCCTTGTCCTATTCTGCTCTGCCCTTCCCTGCCCAGTGATGCCTCTGTCTGGTATTTTTAGCCATTGTTACCATTTTTCCTCCTCTCTCCGGCTCTGACATTTCCTTCCGCTTACCCTCTTTCTTTTTTTTTTCTCACTTGCTCTCTTGACCTGCAGTTCATTCTTTTAGCGGCTTCCTTCTACACTTTCCCCACAGTCCTGTTCTTTTACGTTGGATTTTTATAGTCTTTTATACTCTCTTTACTCTGGCGGTTTCTGCCGTTGAGCTGGATGAGTGAATGGCTCCCTGCCCCTTGAATTGGCCCAGTGAACCATGTTGTGATCCTGTGGGCCGACAGGTCGAGCCTGTCACTCCTCTGCTGTTGAAGTGGAGGTCAGCGGTGGGGATCAGCTCACTCTGGAGATCTAACAGTGACACTGAAGCCGTAAGCAAAACCTAAGGCAACAGAAATTCATAGCAAGGTGGATAAAAGTGCTGCATGATTTGGTTTGGCTTTCTGTGGAGAGCTCACTGTAATGTTTTAATTACAAGAATTAAAGCAGCTTAATTGCAGCTAAATCCTTTAGTTTTCTCTGTTTTAAAAAATTGTCATTATTGCGTGCTGTACAGCAGATTTTCCTGGCCTCCTGACCCCCCTCCACTCCTCATAACAACACAACAGTTGATTTTGGTGTATTGGTTGTTTTTTAGGGAATAAAATGGGCAGCTGTACCCAGTAATGTCTGCTTTGTGCGTCCTAATCACTGTTTAATCAGCACTGGAGCACCAAACAGGTGCTTTAATCAAGAGTTTTGCTCAAGCAGCACACGATGGCAAGAAATCGTTACCAGAGAATTTGCGTTATGAATGCCAGAAACAGTCACCTTGTGCTCCTGCTCACTGTTGAGACAAATGCCGGCTGTATAGATTAGCTATATTTTTTGCAATGTTTTGCTATTGACGTGGTGAAGGATGTGTCATTATGCATCCAATTTCTTGATTTCTGCTCGCTATTTTAACAGTGTAACCACACACTTCCCGAGTTTTCTGCTTGATGCGCTTGTCTGCGTTCATTATGTATAGTGCATGTAGGGCCCTGACTATCAGTTACTTTCATTGTTGAGGACCTAAGAGTATTTATTAACCATGTTTGGAAGTCATATGTGAATAAAATCTTTGCTCCTTGAGAAGCTTTACATAAATACAAGAAATGGGTAGAAGCTGCTAGTCTCTCTTTCTGAGAGGTAAAAAATAATATATATATATATATATATTTACCTGCTAGCGCCTCTGACTAAGTCTCTGAGGCCGGCCAAGATGTAGACAACTTCCCACAAAAGTGCAGCAACTTGGACTCATTAAACTAAACAGCTGTCACGAGTATATTAATGAGCTTCAGAGGCCTTTTATTATTTTTGGATAAACACGAGCTGTTTCCTCCTGTTTTCCGTCTTTCTTGTAACTTTTTGGCTTCTCCTTCGTGACGCCCGAAAGTAACTTCCCAATGGGTCTCAGCTTTCTTAATTTAATTTATGTGAGGATCCCAAAAGTAGCACCAATCACAGGAAAACCACAGAGTAATGTTTTTGTTTGTCTGTTGTTGTTTTTTTATGGAGATGCAATAAAGGCTTTGTTCTGATAAATGACCCGAACAATTAATAGACTATAAGAGCCAAACTACCCCGTTCATTCCGCACCTGCAGCTTTAAATGTTTCCATGTGCTCCACTTAAGAAAATGTCGTCCCAGTTTATTTCTCGTCCATGTTCTTCTCAACCCTCGATCGTCTCACTGTCTTTCAAAGAGCTTGTTGCTGGTTTTGTTCAGTTTTTAAAAATAATTATTATATTAATTAATACTTCCTTTTGTTTTTTCGCAGGATCTGAAAAAGCCCTTTGACAAAGCCTGGAAGGACTACGAAACAAAAGTGTAAGAAACTAAGCGCATCTAATCAGCAGTTCTTTGTGTGTTTTCTACCATATTTGATGTTTGCACTGTTAGTCCATGACTTGTGCTCATGTAGTTATCAGTAGTTTAACACTTCAAGTTAGTTTTGTTTGAATGATTTTGGGCAGTATTTTTAAAATCAAATGTTTAGTAAGTGTCTTGTGTCTGTCCTCCATGTTTCCCTTCTAATGCCTCTTCCCTTGATTAACAACTCAGGCAATTCCTTATAATGTGAATTATGTCACCTTTTCCACTTCCACACTGAGACTCCATTTTCACCGACACTCCTTTGTGATTGTGCATGCAAAGAACTCTGGAGTTTTTATAGCACTTTCATATATTTTACAAGCAGCAAAGGACATTCTTTACTGAAAGGGTAATGCGTCTTCTCTCCAAACCGTTTTGATCAAGCAGTGCAGACCGTGTGCTGACATTAAGGGTTCATCTAGATGCCATGTGACCATTCCCGACCGTCCTAACTTGTTCTATTTTGTTCGACTCTATTGATGGCTAATGGAGGCCATCAATAGAGTTTTCTGCCTGATATGAAAAGCATCCAAACATATCAGTGATCATCTGATCTATCTGCTGTCTCCATTTCATAGGCTCAGTCAAAGAGCAATTACAGTATTTGGTCAACATGGCATTGATTTCTGGTTTCCTAATTTGGTTTGCGAGCTCTTTGCACCCAATGCCTGATTTTGAATTCCTTGTTAGGGGTTCATCCCACATTGAAAGCTGTTTATTCAGGAAGTGTTTTGCCTTCATTTTCACAAGTGATTCATTTATATTTTGTTTAAATGTAGAAAACCTCCAAGTCCTTTGTCTTGTGGGTGCCTTGCTTCCTGAACCAACAGTAGTGAAAATGAATGGACTCTCAGCCCCGTCGTCATTTGAACAACTGTCAGCTTGGCTAGCAGCCAAACAGCCTGGCTAACACGTGTCTCTGTATTTGTTGGGGCTGAAAATTCATGTGCTGACAAAAGCCAGCAGTGTAAACCTAATGAAATCAGGTTTGACACCTTCAGCGAAGCTAAACAGAAAGTTTAGGACAAAAACCAAAACGCTTTTGGGACTAATGTCTGTGAGTGTGAGGCTGTTTGTGTGTGGTGTGCTAACTGTGTCTAAGGTTTTAACACTGTACCCATGAATATACACTCACTGGCCACTTTGCTAGATACACCTGTTCAGCTGCTCATTAATACAAATATCTAATTAACAGCTGAATTGATGCCAGATGCCACATTGCAGCAGCTCGGTACATTTAGGCATGTAGACACAGTTAAGGTGACTTGCTGAAGTTCAAGCCAAGCTTCAGAATGGAGGAAGGTGACCTAAGAGCCAGATGGTCTCTGAGAGAAAATATCTCATGAGCGGCTGTTCTGTGAAAATGTCTTGTTGATGTCAGACATGGCTACAGTGTTTCGAGCTGGTAAACAAACAGCCACTCGTTGCTGCCTAAGTATGCAGAAGAGCATCTCTGAATGCTCAGCACATCAAACCTCTCACTCCATAACCACTCCTGTCAGCTAAGAACAGGAAACTGATGCTGCAATTCTCATGTTCCCATCAAAACATTGCCTCACTTTCAATGATGGCTGCTTCCAGCAGATTAATGTGGCGTGTCACAAAGCTCAGACCATGACGATGAGTTCACTGCACTCAAACGGCCTCCAGATCTCAGTCCAGTAGAGCACCAATAGACCTGATACCTCAAGATTTAAGGCACTTCTGAAAGCAAGAGGGGGTCCAACCTGATACTACCCAGGTGTACCTAAACACAGTATCCAGTGAGTGTACCTCCAATGAAACCTAGACAAATGTGACTGTACAACTAAATACAAACAGCTCATAATGTCACAGGTAAGACAAAATATTTTATTGGAGTAGTTTTGTTTGCTTTGGAAAGTA